TGTGGATCCGGTGCTGACATATCCAACAGTCGCTACTTTTGTGGACCGTTGTTAGTATATCAGGATATACTCTGATTTTATTTATATATTTTTAAAATTTTTTAAATTTGTTAATTTTTCTCAACAACAACGACAAATAAAATAAAAATCACAATTAAAAACACAGTAACGTAATCATATATAAATACCATTAACAAATTGTCGGTAAAACATTATGGTGAACATATTTGTTTGGTCGGAAAAGTCCTAAATATAAAAACATTTAATTTAAAATTTGGAAATTACTTTTGAATACTTTAATTGGAAAACTAATAAATAAATGGCGGTTTATTAATTGCCCAAACTGTCGAGAATGCGTTGCAAAGTTACCCCATTTCGGATGAGTTCAGCCAATTGACTCAACACGGGTGCATACGTGGCCAATAAGTCCAAACCCTTAGCCATACTCTCGAGATCATCCCTGCGATAGTGTTCAAACTCGTTGTCGTCAATCCTGACGCCCCACCGCTGGTACAGAGGCCGCGACACAGCCGTATCGAAGTCCGTCCATTTGGCCACAAAATCGTTGCCGTTTCTAAACACCAGTGCATTCCCGCCGTGAGCATCCAAATGGAGTATACCCTCGTTGTGCATATAATTCATGCCTATATTTATTAAAAACAAACAATTAATAATTATAAAAATTAAAAATGATAAAAACTATACGAGACATACCGGCCAACAATTCCTGTGCAAACTTGACAGCCAATTGCGCATTGATTTTGCCGGCCACATGAAAGTCATAAAGACTAGACTCCGCCAAATCCATGACCAGGAACATGCGGTCATACGTGACAATTGGTCTCATTTTAGGCGCCAAATGGTTGATAATGTATCTCTTTTTACCCAAATTGATGGCCATTTTAAGCGTCACACAGTTTGGATGTTTGAGTGCTTTCAGCACTTGTTTCTCAATCTCGTGATTAAGACGAAGCAAGTCATGTGTGCTTAGCCTAAATTTGACGTATTTGGCCGCAAATGGCTGCCCGACCGCAACACCTTCCATACGAGTGCCCTCTCTAGTACTCAATTGGAGAATCTATACGAAGAAAAATATGTTTAAAAATTTAATCAAATGAGTTTAAAACACGTGATTATAAATACTTTACATTTTGATTGTAAACCCCTTGGTAGGCAACTCCTTGTATGCCATCACCTAATTTGCCCCCTTCTGTAAAGTCTATATCAAAGCCTTTACCCGAAATGGTTTGTAAATCCTTTGCTGTTTTCCTATCCAGCGCTTCGTTTTGTTCGTCTGAATCCATTAGTGTAGTCAACTCTTCGGAGTCAACTCCACTATCGACAAGGACTTGAGCCGTCGTACTCTGGATCGTGCCCTCTGGCATCAGTCCCGGAGCCAACATCCCGTACCGGTATACGAGTCTATCCCTTGGTTTGACTAATGGTATCGCAGAGGTAATGAATTGCGCGCCACCGGTGGCCAAACCGCTTGATTGGCCAATAGTTTGATCCATAACCGGTGACTGCTGTGATTGTTGAGCCCCCATAACATAGCTCTCGCGCGATGAATGTCCGCTACTCGGGGTAGGGGTTGCGGGTGGGGTTGGGGTGGCGACGGGGGACAACCCATCGCTGGAAGCGCTGTCACTGCTTTCACCGAACAAAGACATTGAGAGCCCACTCGAGGGATAAGGAGTTTGAGGAAATCGCGAGAGATCTCCGATATACATGTCGTCCATATGAGTGGCCTGTGGTGTGTGCGGTGCACCCCATTCACCGCTATGTGCTACTGTAGGAAAGTGCCACTCATCTGCCCGTTGAGTCTGAGCCCACTGTTGCCATTCGCCTTCATCTGTTGAGCGCATAGGTCTGGCAGCGGGTGTGGCCGGGAGTTCACCGGTTGGCAATCCACTTGTTCTAATGGGAGCCAGTATTGGGTACGGATTGACCTCTTCAATGGGCGCATCCATCAAATGGCCGTCGCGTGGGTGCGCCTGTTCTACTGGTGTGAGACTGACCTGGCTCAACGCCATCAGTCTACTGCCACGTTGTCTCCGGGGATGCATTCCTCCTCCTTTTGCCATTTTGCACGCACTTTGTTTTTTAAGTGAGTGTTAAATGAGTTCAACAATTATTGTTTAAATAATTTAAAATTTATTAAATTTTCATTTTAATTAGACTAATGATTTATTAGTGATTTATTACGAATTCGTCAGTTTTTTCTCCAATCAATTGTTTTATCGTATTTTAAAAATAAAATTTTATTCAAATTTATGATTAATTTATATTAACACTATTAAATTTATATTCTTTTGGTTATAATGAGTTTACATTAACTTATAATGAGTTTACAGAGTATTTTAATTGTTTATTTAAATTTTAAAACGATTATAATTTTGACTGTATATTTGCGGCTAAAATCTGATTAACATTTTGCAAAACCTCTAGAGCACAGCCATATGATAGGGTAACGCCTGACCCTCCGTGACCGTAGTTGTGAACCACATGTAATTTATTGCCCAAATTATTGATTACCTCTGTCTCCAGTCTAACTGATTCTCTTCCGGGTCTTAAACCGACCCATTCTTTCACTACTTGTGCCGTTTTAACGCTGGGAACCAATTGAGCGCATCCTTCCATTATATGTTCACTATCTTTGAGGTCCACTTCTCGGCTCCAATTGTGCGCCTGTTTAGTGCCGCCCAACACAACTGTGTCACTGTTCGGTAGGATATAGTGGGCGCCGGCCATCACTCCGTGTTTAATCCATGGCGCGTATATACGATAATTGTTGAGAAAAATTAACAAATTTAAAAAATTTTAAAAATATATAAATAAAATCAGAGTATATCCTGATATACTAACAACGGTCCACAAAAGTAGCGACTGTTGGATATGTCAGCACCGGATCCACAAGAGAGCCGACGCGATGAGAGCGACGATGAGTCCGATGAAGACGAGAGGACACCGGTTATGGACCAAAGCGTAGCGCAATTGAGCGGTTCGACCCCCGATAGCACCGGTTCTGCGCATACGGTCACACCCCGTGACAAACTGGACCGCACTCTACGACTGTTGCCGAGGGGAGAGGTGCCGGCGGACGCTGTGGACAGGTTGTCATCGGCTGAGCTCTACGCCAGCAGTTGTGCGGAGATGTCTGGACCGGACTTTTACAACAAGTTTGAAGTGATGAGCGAAAAGGAGCAGAAGAGAGTGCTTCGGGAGAAGACACAAATGGATTTAAATAAGATTAGACTCAAAGGCTTTGATATACAACTCGCAGATACCCACAAATTAGGAGAGGGCACCTATGGGACAGTGTATCGGGGTGTTTACAATCAACAGGTTAGATTATTAACTTGACTAGCTTAATTTGCTTTTACCTAGAAATTATTAGTTTAATATTTTAAATGTTTAAACAGATTCTCCAATTAAGTGCTACGGAGGGCAGTCGACTGGAAGGTGTAGAGCCCGAGCAGGAATTTGCGGCCAAGTATGTCATGTTTTTGCCATTGACTCCAAACATACAGCGTCTGAATTACGAGACAGAAAAACAAATTATGAAAACACTTAAACATCCAAATTGTGTATCGCTTAAAATGTCCATCAATTTGGGTCAAAAGCGATACCTTGTTTACAGTAAGCACCCAAATATGATGCCACTTGTTTCGTATGATCGCATGTTTTTGGTGATGGATTTGGCCGACTGTTGTCTCGCAGATTTCAAAGACAATCATACGTTCAGCGGTCAGTTGGCCACTAAATTTGCACATGACGTTTGCGCCGGTATGTCTACCATTGCATAATTATCACATTATTTTGTGTCAAAAATTTAATTTTAATAATTTTCTATCAATATAGGTATGAATTATATGCACAACGAGGGTGTGGTTCATATGGACGCCCACATCGGCAATGTATTGGTCTTTAGTAACGGCCAAAACGGTGACAATTTTGTGGCCAAATGGACGGACTTTGGTCAGAGTGTGTCCGCACGCCATCACTTCCAGCGCTGGGGCGTACAGATTGAGGGCAAAGAGATGGACAAATCACGCAAATATGACATTAAGAGATTAACCAAGATTATCAAATATTTGGAAAATCAGACGCTCGATGCCAATTTCAATGCATCCCTATTGATTCAATTGGTCGCACAATTGAGAGACTCGGGTAAGTCGTTGAACACCATTTTAAACGAGTTTACCGCAAGATTGTAAACGAAAACCTTTATTCAAATGGTATTTATAAATAAAAGTACTTCTAAATAACAAATTACTGTAAATCAATTAATTTTGCACTAATTAATTGGCATATTTAAATTTTGCAAAACATGAATTTATGTAAAAACAATTAAAACAAAATTTCAAAACTGTATACATTTAATTTTACACACATTTTAAATTACTTTCTTTGCGGGTAATCCACTCAATATAACTCTCTAGTCTCTAACCCATGGCTTCTACCCACTGCTACCGGATCCACCCGTACCGGCGCTGTCCTGATTGTTGGCCGGAGTGGTAGTGGTCTGAGTAGTGGTGAACACATAGTCGGGCGGAGGGTATGCGTGTTGTAGAGTCCAATGTCGAGCAGTTTTGTTATACATTTGCCGATTGTTGAGATACATGCGCGCAGCCGCGCCGTTGTAGGCGTCGTTGGGGTTCGGGTCGGCCAACAATGACTGCACAGACAGAAGCACTTTACCAATGTTGAGAC